CATTATGAGGTTATGAAAGTGAGCTATTTTTGTATTTAAGAGTGTGATTCGTAAACACGACGTTGTAACTTTACTGATGTCCTAGGAAATCTTCCAAAATTTACTTTGCTAGATTATGAGGTTATGAAAGTTTAGAATTTCATTATATTGATTTATTTATGCATTAACATAATTAACATATACATGACGTTATAAACCAACCTTAACTTACGCGTGTGTATAAATAAATCACATCGACTTTTTTTTCTTCTTCTTGTAATTGAAATCTGTTTTGGCTCAAAACTACATTCATAGAGATTTTTTTTTTCCGGATTTTGGTGTTAAAAGTGAAGGTAAAGTGGTAAACTATATACTGAAAAACAAAGTAGGAAATATCAATTTACGAAAGACAAACCAAATTTACTTAGCTAAACACAGTCCGTACTCAGTCAACAGGAAATAGTTAACCAATGATTTGATTTAAACTGGCGTAGTTGAACAACACTATTTGCATGCTCTTAATTTACCCCAAAAAAAAAAAAATTACTTATTTGAAAGGTCTATTATGATTATGTAGAATCCTTAATCAAAATCCGATGTCGTCCAGCGGTTAGGATATCTGGCTTTCACCCAGGAGACCCGGGTTCGATTCCCGGCATCGGAGCATTTTTTAGAAAAAATACGTTTTTAATATAAATATATAAATTTCAGTTCAGGCACAACGGCGAAGTAATCTCCGAACGGTCGGGGAGAGATTTTCACAAAATTTCGAATATTTTACTTATATTAATGATTTTTTTTTGTTTTTGTTTCTGACACATATATTAGGAAAGTTTCACTCGTGAAGAATCGAATGAGCTAATAATATGGGACGCCAAACTAAAAAGATTAGCAAATATTTGAAAAGGAATAGGACCGGTTTATTAATTTCCATATGTCTTATAATATATTAGGATCCGCTGATCCGCGTTAATATTTGGATAAACATATTAAAAATATTAAAATAAATATTTAAATTTTAATTAATAACCCGTTGAATTAACAAAATATTTTAAAATACTATTTAAACACAGATCTTAAATCATTTAAAATCAGTAATTGTCTTAATTCTCATATCCTAATTCATTTCATGAGGACAAAAAGA